AGAACATGCTATTCCACTTCCGGCACATACATTAAACACCCAGAAAGCCATCATAAGGAATATGCTGCACACCGTCTCAAGAGTTTCCTGAGGAGGTGAAGAAAAAATAGAGTCAGTACAACAGGCGCTCCGCATAGCACAGGCAAACGGCTACGATACCTCGGGATTCACATTTCGACACGAGCGAACAATGGCACACAATCGGCAAGAGGAAAAAGAAACAAAAGTTTCACTTAGTGCCCCATCAAAATCAGACGAATTAAGTGCTGCCATACGATCATGCGTGAGAAAGGCAAGTCTTTGAGACATAGTGAGAGTTCTGGTTATCCCACGCTCAACCTCTAACAACGACTTGTCCGACATCGCCTGTACGATCGCCAGGGCACAACACCTTCGTGTGTCATATGCGCATATGGTAAGGAAGGAGATTGCATGTCATCCGGTTGTATATTTAATACCGTGGCCTCAGTGTGATGGAGAAAAATTGGGAAAATCTCTCTCCATCAAAATAAGAGAAATGGACGGCATGCAAAAGTCGAGAAAAGCTTCTTCTCTGGCAGAGCATAGGGTACAATGTCATGGGAACATGAGGTTCGAGGTGACGGTCACGATAATGGCACATGAATCAGATATTGCGGAGCGGCGGACCTCAGGGGCTTTTTGGATCATGGCTAAGGCCATTAAAATCAACCGAAGGAAAGAGTGTGTGGTTACCACAGACTGGCACCCTCTGCAGCAGTATGCGGCTTTTGACCACCGCTGTCCAAGCTCTGAGAAGTCCCTCGGCGGGGCGAGGTCAAGGGGTTTATATAGTAATCGATAGGAGTTGATTGGGAAGGGGCCAGCGGCGTGCGGCCTTGTGTGGCTTTTGAAGGGGCTTGATTAGCCCCTTGTAGGCCCCTTAAGCAGGTTGACCTGAAGCTCACAGTATTCAAACCGCAGCCACACCAGCTTGTGGTGATCGGTGGACCACACAGGTCGACTATCCCAAAAGATAGTTAGGAACTTCTGACGTGAGATCACGCCCTTTAAGATTTCTCTGTAGATTGAAATGGTGCTCGAAAGAATGGCCTAAATAGTGCTTAAACGAATGGCTTCTCAAATGGCTCGTGTCTTTCTAGGCTTCGAAGAGGGTGAAAGCACCGTAACGTCAGCCTAATAAAGTGTCGTTACATTTCGGTTGCACAACATGAAAAGTCAACCTAGTTACTTCTATCACTCAACTATTGATTTCGTATTTGTATTTGTATTTCCACTATCCAACAAAAATATTATTAGAAATATGGCTCATTCTAGTGGGACCCAATGTTTTCAGCAAATATACTCTATTATAATAAAGACGAAATTTGCCAAAAGTGGGCTCCCTGAAGAACCTCCTCCCGCTACCTCCCTTTTCACATGACTATGAGTAGTATCTGCAAATTTTCAAAAGTTGTTAAATAGCAAGTAATTCGTAAAAGTAAACTCCACTCGTATCATATTCACTGTTACATTCTGTCCCATAGATGTGTTCATGTTCACTACGCAAATAAAATCGACTCCACCCAAATAGCTCTGGGAATGATAGGTTGCATAAAAGTGTCAATGAAGTTATCCATTCTGGGGGACAAAGTGAGCAGCTCTTCCCAGTAGTGCACCCAAACTTTTTGGCACCAGCTGGAATGTCACCACTTAATTTGCTCACGGAAATGAACACAACCATCACGCTGCTTAAATGCCTAGATGCCGCGAATGAACTCTGCATTGGAGCAAGACGTAAAAATGGAACAAGGGCTCGTTTGATCACAGGTAGCCTTTTTGCTGTGTAATCCAGTAATTAGTCTAGCTGGAGTAAGGGAACACCCTCGTTCACGTCGGAGAGGACTCCTTGGTCGAGCAGCTCTCGCGATAAGTTTTGACAAGAGCCAATCTTTCAGCAAAGTCAGCATCCATCTCCATAAAAGATGTTTACACTCACCGACAGTTTAAATGTGCCCTCTTCAGAGCCAGTAACTTGGCGGGATAAAAATTGAGTGTGAACCACAAAAGTTATATTTTTTTGAGTTTTATGTTATATAACAAAGTGTAATTTGAGCATTGCTCATACCATGCATCATAAATTATTAAGGGCGAAAGTAGTGAATTGGCAAGAAAAGCATTGTCACGCAAAAGTATCCAGAGATCGGATCCTGGATAAACGCTGGAGCAACCCAAGCCTTTCATCTTTTCAAGGTCAACCAATTAGTACAAACTCGTCTGGGAGAGTTCAAGCAGTTATAAGCGCTGGAAATAATGATGGAAGATATACCATTAGAACGAACAAAGCAGCTATAGGACAAGAGGGCTGCCAACACGAATGGACTGCTGCAAAGGAGAAACGGCAAAAACTTCGGAACTGGTATGATTTGGACCCGAGATGGGCGTGCGAGGATGCTCCAACTCTCCACAACAAGCCCACACCTCGGCGTAAGGGAGGGCGGAATAAAGACAACGGACACATTAAAATACAGAACGCTTCCCACAACGTCAGGACACTATCGACAGAGGTCTCTCCTAGACATATGCCTGTAACAGTTGGAGAAGATCAAAGCCGACATAGTCAGTGTTTGCGAAACTAGGAGAGCACGCGTAGTCTCGGCGAAGTGGTAGAGAGGTGAAGAAATTCTGCTAAAAGAAGGAGCTGATAATGTGTTCAGAACAGGTGGAGTCGGTTTCATCGTGAAAGCTAAGATGTTCCCGTATTATTTCTTGCGATACTCAGTTCCCACGAGTTGTGGTTCTGAAGATAAAGTTGCAAAAGCTGGGAAACTGAGGGCTCAAAATCGTGCAAGTATACGCACCCACTGCAGGAGCAGAGGACGACGAACTTGAGCATTTCTACGAAAGAATAGAGAGGGCTTTGATAGTCAAATCGACGTACACTACTGTTCAAGGCGTTTTCAACGCCATAGTCGGCTCCCGATTGGACGGTACGGAGCACCTTTTAGAGAGGTACGGCGCAGGAGTAAGAAACTTCAGAGGGAACCGTCTAATCGAGTTCGCAGAACAACACAAAGTCTTGATAATGAACACCTTTTCCAAAAAAAAAGCCAATCGTCTTCGGACATGAAGGAGCCCGGACATGAAAACTTTAAGATAGATTTATTATGTTTTTACCGATACACCGAGATTGCTCGCTGACGTCTCCGTTATTGGGGGAAGTGTGATTGTGACCGGCTCCGATCACCAACTTCTACGTCCGGTGATCCTCTGCGATGTCAGGAAAGAGAATCGATTTCTACATTAGCAAAAAACACTCATACGACGTACTTTCAATGGCGACGTGTATGCAGCGATGATTGCGTCGTAAGACCTGATTAATACTGGTAATAGCATCAACGCTGACTACGAAGATCTAGTGGAGAAAATAACGCAGGCCGTGAAGGCATCGAGCACAGCAACAGAACCAGCAAGGCGACGGCATCTATCGCCAGAAGCAGAGCAATTGACGAAGAAGAGGGCGCGCATGGAAGTCGAAGCACGAGTGCAAACCGCGGATTACAGGAAACTCTGCGAAGCGATAAGGAGAGAGATAAATTACTACTATGAAGGCTACAGACAAAAGAAACTCTGCGAAGCAGCTAAGAGAAAGGTCAGTCTGAAAGCCGTAGAAAGGGATATTCGCCAGGCATACCATCTGCTCAAGGACAATACAGGTGTCAGGTGCATGAACGAAATATGTACTAAGTTCTTCACCGATTACTCGTAAAGGCGGTCCTCGCAAGAGCTGTTCAAACCAATGCAGAGGAACCAATCCCTGAAGTCATGTGAGAAGAAGTGGAGTATGCAGTAAAACAGATCAAGGAGTTGGAAATCCAGGCTGCGACAACATACGTCCCGAGCACCTGGAAGCGGAGGATTACCTCTGTTTGAAGCGCTGGCCCAGCGCTTTAGCGGATAGTGCAGTTAGAAGGGAATTCCGGCGGCATGGAAGAAATCATGAACGATACTGCTAATGAAAAAAGGCGATCCCGAGAGTGTGGACAATTACAGACCTATCACATTGCTGTCTCAAGTCTATAAGGCCTTTATCAGAATAATCGTAAATCGCATAGTAGGAGACCTGGACATGGCCATGAGCCGAGAGCAAACGGGATTTCGAAGTAGGTGTTCCACAATCGACCATCTCCACGTCGTATGCCAGCTCACCGAAAAAATGTAGAGTATTGGTTTCCTTATGTATGGCTTTGTCGACTACAGAAAAACATTCGACTCGGTCGAAACAAACGCGATACTGAATGCGATTAGCAGATACAGCATTAATTCCTGCTATGTCGACCTGCTCAAAGGACTGGACAGTGGCCGTACCACAAGAATAAAGCTCTCCAACGATCCATGTCGAATAAAAATATGCAAGAGCGTACGACAAGGAAATATGTTTTCTCCAAAATGGCGTGCACTAACATTGGAAGCCCTGCTGAATGATCTTGACTGGATCGAAGGCACTGAGATTGCTGGAGAGCACCTGACCTATCTGCTCTTTGCTGACGATTGCGTCATTTTTGCACATGATGCCTCAGAGCTCAAGAGAAACTTGTGCAGCTGCAGATGAAATCGAACGGAATCGGACTTGCAATAATTTTGTCAAAAACGAAGCGGATGCACAACCAGTATAATCCTACAGCGAATGTCAAAACAAATGGCGAAACTATCGAGGAAGTAAAAAGCTCCACTACCTAGCTACCTCGATACCAGCTCAGCTTCTTAGAATGCAGCACCGGAGAGTGCAGCAGGCGCAGGAGAGCAGCTTGGTCTAGCTTCAACAAAAATACTGGTCGTCTACGGAGGCAGACAAAGAGAAATTCGCTGACATTTGCTGTGATGCGAAGATCAATGGAACGCAGAATTCGCAAAGTGTCACTTCGTGGACATATCACAAACACAGAGTTGCGAAGATGAAGTAGCCTTGTTGATGTTGTCCAGGAAGTGCATAAACGTAAACGATAGTGGGTCGATCGTGTCGCACTCTTAAAAGACAATCGATGGACCTTTCGGCTAACGAATCGGATCCCATTGGAGAGCGAGCACCGGGAAGGCCTAAATTGAGGTGGGCCGATCCTATGATGAATATCTCGGCCAGCAATGGAAACGACGTGCGCAGGGCCGGAACGGATGGCTTAAAGTCGACTTGCGTGAATGGCGAAGTTTGCGAGAACAAGTCGGATACAGGTGATACAAGATAACATTGTCCGAAAAAGGGAAAAAGAAGAAACGAGAAATCACTTCGAATCTCTTCAATATAACTCATCTCGGAATCGATGTTTTCGACTGATTTTCTGACAGCACATTTTCGAGATGTCACCGGCTCTCTTGCGATGCGAGATACTCAAAAGCTTATTTTTTGCCAAATGGACGGTTTTTGAAATGCAAAAATATTTAGCCAGTTTTAGGTTTGAGTCTAGAACTGCTCGAAGGATCTTTGTTCCGAAAATAGATCTCTTCTGGTACCAGGACGGGCGTTTGAATCTTGCTCTTCGACCAAAAAACAGCTTTCCGCTTTTGCCACAGGCAGTAAGCAGGGATTATCTCATGCTTGACTCATGGAGCGATTTGGGGTGCCGAAGTCTAGAATTAAGAAGGCCACTGGAAGAACTAAGTCCCGCGGAGACCCTCTCAAACGAGCCAGCACGGGAATGCCGCAGATTACCACTCCTGCGGACGATAGGGAGATCATTCGTGCGTCGTGTCAAAATCCCAGGCGAACATTTTCCGATACAATGAACGAAATATCCATGACAGATTTCATTCGTCAAGACGACCTACCAACACGATATTCGACTCGAGCACAAATCGTCAACCCTAACCAAGGGAGGGTAGTCTACTTATCTCGGAACTTTGAATGGAGACCCAGATAAGTCGATAGAGTTTTGAGTGCCGTTTACGAAACTAGAAGTTAAATCTGCAAAATGGTTCTCCTTGTAAAGTTATGGGGTCCAAACTTCGCTCGACAGTGGTATCAGTTGGATATGCGAACTCGTCGCTTACACATTAAGTGCCCACGTGGCCTAGTGCTAGTGGTCTCGCTTCACGGGCGTAAGGTGACGGTTTGCTCCCGGACATTGTCCGCATTTTTGCAAAGTGCTTTTTCATTTCATCAAATTCTCCTCAAACGTTTTCTGACATTTCTTCAGTGAACGTTTCATTTCTGCTTTTATTTTCTCTCGTCACCCCTATTCAAGGAAAGTGGTTCTGTACGTTAATAGTATGGCTCTTTTTTACTTTAAAATTCAAGAAACATTCAACAGAAAGTTACCAGAGATGTGTAGGATGCTGCAAGGAACTCAACATTAATGGAAAAACTTTGGAAAATGCGTGAAGCACACAGGTTCTTCACAAACTGTTCACCTTACGCATGCATCTATCGAATGTTTAGTGCACCTAATTTTTAATTTCTAATTTTAACATGTTCTCGGTACAAGGCTGGGTATATTGATGGATACCCAGGTTTCTGCGTCATACCGGCTGAGTATTTGTTTAGTCTTGAGACGATTGACTGTTTTGTCACCGGATGTAGAGAATCAGCATGCATAAGGTGCGCAGTTCGTGAAGAACGTGCGTGCTTCGCGCATTTCTTTCAAGTTTTTTCATCAATGTTGAGTTCCTTACGGGCATCTTACACACCTCTGGCATTTTTCTGTTGAATGTTTCTTGAATTTTAAAATGAAAAAGAATCATACTATTAACGTGCGGAACCACTTCCCTTGAATAGGGGCGACGAGAGAAAATAAAAGCAGAAATGAAACGTTCACTGAAGAAATGTCAGAAAACGTTTAGGGAGAATTTGATGAAATGAAAAAACACTTTGCAAAAATGCGGACAATGGACGGGAGCAAACCCTCACCTTACGGCCATGAAGCGAGACCACTACCACTAAGCCACGTGGTCACTTGATATGTTAGCGACGACTTCGCATATCCAATTGATGCTACTGTCAAGCAAAATTTAAACCCCCATAACCTTATAAGAAGAACCATTTCACAGTTTTAATTTCCAGTTTCGTAAACAGCATTCAATGCTCTATCGATTCATCTGGATTCAAAGTTCCAAGATAAGTAGACTACCCCTCCCTGGTAAGACATGGCGACGGCTCACTGTAGGTTCGAGGATGTTCTTCAGATCTACGAACGGGGTATCTACTAAATTCTCACTGCTATGAAGCAACAGATGTACGTACTCATCTGAGCGAAAGGCAAGCTACCTTTCGCCCTTCGTGTGCACGGTAGAGAATTCACTCTCCAACATGATAACGGCTTCAAACACAAGTCTAGAAGTGTGCGCGAGTGGATGACTCAACGGAAATTCCGATGCCTTGACTTGTCCAGTCAGTCTCTGACTTAAACACCGTTAAACCTTTGTGGCAGAAACTCAAGCAAAGGATAGCCGTTAAAACGGCCACAAATGTTGCTTAAATGTTTGCCCAATTGAAAGAAGAATGGAATAAAACTGATCACTCTGTCTGAATGATAAGTTGGTGAATCAATTCCCCTTGGCGAGCTCATTAATGCCAACGGTTTCGCTACATTGTATTACACGAGTGGTTAATTAGCCTTTAATCTCATGATGATGGCGTTCAAGAAGTGAGCCAATTTGAACTGCACGAGCGAAACATGACGGGCGAAAGGTAGTTTGCATTTCTCCAAGAATTCAATTTGAACTGTGAATTTGTCCTGTTAGAAACCTGGGAGGAAAATGTTGAAAATGGCCTTCTAAGCGAGATAAAAAGAGTTTCGGGGGCTCAGTGATGGGAACTTCGAGAATCATTACTGTTGTCAACGTTTCAAAGAAATCAACAAAAAACATTGAGTCCGAGATGAGTTATGGCAAAATATATCCTTGGTGATTTCCTTTCAAACAGTACTGTATGTTCAGGGTATGTAGCGCTTCCCTGAGAAGCCTGATTTCAGTTTTCAAAATCACCACGTTCTATATTTTGACAACTGAGCCTTTAACAAAAGTAATGTGAAAAATTTGTCTTGTGTAGAAACACCGGTCACATGTGCAGAGATGAATGTGCAGGTGCAGGAAGGAGAATAAGGAAAATTTAGTTGCAAACAGTTTGATAAGGAATGTAAAGCTAAAGGACTACCGCAGAGAAACATGATAATTGTTGTAATGTTATCTGCTACTTTCTCTAACGACTACTCCTTCTCATCGTTCTATCATTTACACACTTCTCACTGAGAGAGGTGATATTTTTCTCCCGTTAGTGGTATCAAAGCGTGGTGAAAAGCGTTATTTTTGCTTGCTATCACTTATTCGTTCTGCTTGGTATGTTCCGTTCGTTTTACGTCTTTTTCATGATCATCTGCCGGCAGGCCACTGCTCTTTGTTGGCGTTTGACCATTCACTTTAGGTGTACTTGAGACGAAGAAGTTTCCTCCCAGGGCGAGCTCTCTTGTTACAACAACGAACCAGCAGCGGTCGCATGATCACCTTAGCCATTAACACCTTATTGTCTTGGCTTGCATCCTTTCTGACAAATTTTTGGAATTCACTGATTCACTTACGCAGGAAAAACGAATTCCTCGTAGATGGAAGCCAAAGTCCATCACATCTACATTGTTTAATTACCCAATTGCAGGCTCCATAAATCTTTGCTGACAGAAGCATAGGAGAATAATAGACGATCTAATGCTGCACCCACGACCAACTGCAATGTCATACTGCTGCAGCTTACCTCGAGATGCTCTTCTCATTCTCTCTGAATGTCTCAATTCGAACTTCTTTTCTCTAATTGCAAGTCACCAAGCTTTTTTTTTTTCTTCGATGGGAGCGTTTTATTTGAGACTTGACAAGCCAGATAGGAACAAAATTAAGAATCAAGGAGACAGCCGCTTTGAGAGCTGTTTTACGCACGAGAATTCTGTCATCTCATCATTTTAATCACCACTCAGAAGTACCTCCATGGTCAAAACTCTTGGGTGACGAAAATTCCCCCACGGCCTGCAGCAGTGGTTCCGCGGCGGCTCTCCGTATCCTTCCACTAGGAGTTCGGATCCTTCCCCTCACCAAGCGCGATCGCGTGCAGCGAGCACGACCCGCCGTTCGGGGAGAAGATACCAGACCCGAAATCTTTGTCAGAGGTGTGGTGCTATAACCAGTTTCCAGGTATTGTGGGAAGCTTCATAGAAGGTAAGGATTCTTAGTCGCAATAGCCATTCGAGATGAGACGTTTACAATAGTAGGTGATTTCTTACGTTAATCTCAGGTCTGTGTTCCAAATTTACTAGACTTTCTTGGAAACAAAATTACGGGACCAATTTCTCCCTGTGTTATACAAAACACCGAACAGATAGAGTTCCGGAATTTTCTTCCCAAGCCTTCTCAACTTACGGTATAGGACAGTTCAATGGTTTATCTGGTCAGAGTTTTCTTTGAAGAGAAGTCAGTCCCTAAGTTTGGAGCATCTGTCCGCACTCTCGGACCGCTGGTTCAAACCGACTGGAAATAAAAAACGATGTGCAACAATAGTTAATCGTTGCATGTGCAACGTATATCCACTGATTGTCGAAAAAGCCTTTTTTGAGATTAACATGATGATGCGGTGGGACGCGACACCACGACTAGACTTACAACCCTGATTTCACCCACCACTTGCTTTGAAGCTGGCCTCTATGAAGCCTTCATTGTTGATACACCTAGTAGTAATGACTGTCGTGCAATGGGATTTCTATACTTATCTCATTATAACAACTTATCCGCTAATCCCCATAGGCTGGCAGATCGATTCACGCGGTCTGCACCTGACAGTAACACCCGTAAGAATTCATTACCAGTCGAAAATACACAGATTCAGAAACTCATGGTCTTTATCACTTCTCTTTAATTTCCGTAGGTGGCACTAAATCGATATCAGAAGAGACTCGCTGTCTTTCTTGTTTTTTCCGTCTTCTCTTGACACTCGCTCGAACAGTATAGAAGCCCATGGGTACTCTACCAGCGCCACAAAATTGAAGCTCGCCGGCCGAAACACAGAATTGGAGGCTACGGTCCATTTCGAATCCCTATATCTCCACCAGGGCGGAGATGGTGTACTAGCAAGTGACCCACTATGTCACGGTCAGGGGTTAATATCCGCATAGGCCAACCAAACCTTCATTCCTGCGATGTCGAGTATAGTATCAGACTCGTCTGGGAGAATAAAAGCACTGACTTGTATATCGGCTGGTCACAGCAAGTCATTGTATAGGCCACATACGCACTCATTACGTCACTGCTACTCTGAGTGGAAGTCGAGTGCGGGGATACATCCTCAGACGAGATTGATCAACGCCGAAAGACTTTACCCTTTTATCCTTCACATCACCACCAACGTACGGTGTTACTTCCGTGATGTGATGAATCCATCGTCGTTGTTACCAGCAGGCGACCGCAGAGGATCATTGTAATCGCCTTTCACGAACTCGTCATCCTTGCAATGAATGGCGACCTCTAACTCTCCACCAACAGCTCGTGTGTTATCATAGTATTAGAAGGAATGTGGAATAGGAATAGGTATATCAGGAAGCTCCTAACTATCACCCGGTCCTTCCCAGATGATGCCCTCGTTTTACTGCTAGAACGTAAGCCCCCCAACGAATAGATGACACCACAGTCAGGCGGGACATACAGTACAGTTGTCGTAAGAACTCCAAAATTCACGCGAACACCGCGTGACCATTAGGTCAATCAATCGTATCAATTTCAGATCTTGGGGGGCGGCGTGCCAAGTCGATCGGAGACATAGCGTGACGAGACGGTCGAACAGTAAGAAGGTCTTGCACGACCTTCGAGCCTGGTAGCTTACGGTGTGCGAGATGAGCTCGCATATATTATATCTTCTTAGATTCTAACCTTTGTTCCTCTGCTCAATTGATGTTCCATGAAGCGTTCGATAGTAAGCGATTAATATGATGATTATGTGGGCACACGCCCATACCTTTAACAGGTGAGCGAAAGCGGTCCATCTGCGTCTTTCTCCAACTCTCTTTCCCTTTTTATTTCCCCGATTTGCCTGGTTTCTTTCTTCGATTTTTTTCCCTTTCCTTGGTGCAGTCTCATCTCTCTTGGCTCCGTAGAGCAGCTCGGCCCACAGGAGCATTCTTCTGAATCCCCTCTTCTACCGATCAATATTCAGTGTTTCAGATGAATTTTAATCGGGGTTAGTAAGGGATGTTCCAGCCGCCCTCACTCATTCCCGTTGCTCTTCATTCTTCCCTCAAATTAGGCCACCCAGGGCCCGGGTTTGGCTCTCTCTGAGAGAGTAGGCTGTTCTTCTGTCTGCTTGCATACTGTCCGTTCGATAGAACTCATGCGCTCCCACAAGCCATAAGATCAAACACTGATTGAAAGTATTAATTTATCTTATTTTCTGCTATTCTGTCAAGGTGTGAGTAATACAATCACCATTTCTTCTCTTTCCTACTCCCTTTCGATTCACCTTTCACTAGTGGTAAGCACGCGACGTAATTCCTTTTTTGTTTTTCGGTTTTTCCCCTTTCTTCCCTTTTATTCCTTTTTTTTCTTATTCTTCACTCCCTCTTTCGGCCACATGGCCAATTAATCCTTATTGGAGCGCTGTCAGTCAGTGGAACGCACGCTTCCTCACGCAGATACCGGTCACTCTGCGTGTAAGAAGCATTTTTATACTTGATCATGAGGCCGCGTTCCGCCATTTCATTAATTCATTCGTTTACGCGTAATTGCCATAAGAGTATATTCTGAAGCGCCGACCATAGGCTAGTAATGCAGAACANGAAGAAAAATTATTTCCTACGATATTTTTGTCGATATTCATCTGGTTCACCGAATGATCTGGTGCGTAGTTATGGGACAGCCTCTGGGGACCTCTTCTAGCTCCGAGCAGCATAGATATGAGTAACCGTTAATATAGCTTCTAGGGGACTCTATTTTTGATGATGGGTTTTTTGTTCCATTGGCTCTGCCGAGGCAAGCTCCGCGCAAGGCTGATAGCGCGCTGTCACAACATAGGCATACAGTACGTGTTATTCCCGACCGCAAGCCTTTCACACGCTTATCGGCGGGGAACATCTGTGTGAACATGCACCGCATAGCGTGTGCATAACTTTCCTTTGAACCCTTGAGATTCTCCCTCCGCCAAGATCATCATCTCTACATGGAAGTTCCTCACGATCGCGTGCTGCGCATCCGTGAGAACATTCCTTCAGATCGGGAACGGTCAATATGAGAGCTTTACTTTTCCCTCATCAGCACCATCGTGCCACTGGTCCTATTCTTTTATTATGGCAGTCACTCGTAGTTCTACAAAATCTTCTCTCTTCACTCTTGGGTCCTCTACCCAACTTACTCAAACCAAACCCATGAAGGCAGAGGTAGGGTTAACTTCGTTCTTGGCCACCTTCGACGAGCTCCGAAATTATTCGCCACTCTGTGACCGCGATATTAAGATGACGTGCGACGCTACCTCGTCCGCTTTAGAGCAGGTGTAGAATGAATCTCGAGAGACGGCAACCCTTCTTACCAGGAGAATTAATGAGGGCAACACAATCCCCACTCAGCGGCTCAATAACTTCTTTGCAGAGGTTGGTTATCGTCTCGACAATCTTCCGGTAATGGCCATGTTCCCTCCCAACTATCACGGTTACACCGAAGATTGGGTCGGCATTTGCTAACCGAGTCCTCAACTTCGTGCCGGGACCACTTCTGGTCAGGACGCGGGCACGCGAAAAGAACGCGTCTTTGAAGAGTTTGTGGCCCGGCGACGAGGCGATATCCGGTACTTCGTCCAACTCGAAAATATAACTTCGTTCGAGTAGGCGGACACTAAAGCACAAACGGTCGAACAATTACTCAGTGAAGCCACCGCAAAACTTCTCCACCCTACATCTCCACACGCTCCAGTCTAAATGCCCGTTTCCCCATATACAGCCGGCGCAGAGAAGATGGTTTCTGGAGTCTCCAGCCGCGAACGCTGACGCTCGCTAATCCGTCCCTCGCTGTTGACGCTTGGATATGTCCTACCGGCCGATCCAACAACTTTTTCCCTACCTCCGTTCGTTAATTATTGTTCTAACCTCGTGCCTAGTACCTTCAACCCTTCAGTTACACTGTCTCTTCACCTATATCGTCGAGACACAAAACTATATTCCACTTCGACCTCCTTGCATAAGATCATCAAACACTCTATGACATAATCAGCCAGATTTTTTGGGGCCCGTAGGGAACTCATTCAGAAAAACCGTAGCGGTTTCGGAGGGAGAGTGCAAGCAGATGGCGTTTCACCATCGCTGCGCACACGGCTTACAGCGCTTTCCGGTGCATGGCGTGAACAAAACTCCTTAGCGCTCTTGTTCCCATCCGCACCGTTTGGTTGTTCTGTGTCTCACTGCGAAGAGGTCACCAACTGTTGTTTCTAACTAATTGAGGTTTCATGGAGAATTGACCCCCCCAGCCGCCGTTGGGGACCCGTCTGCTTGTTCCTATTCGCAGACGGTTCCTTTACCTTGGCGGACGGCTCATTGCTCATTTGGACTCCTGATAAGGAGGGAGCCTGCAAGTACATCATCGTCTCTCGCCTCACAGGCTACCGCTTGAACACAATATGAGTTAACGATGACAAAGTGTTTGCCCTTTCCTTGTCTAATCGATCCACTACATTCGGGGATTGCGCTAAGGAATTCATCTTTGCGAACCAGGGCTACGCGGTTGCCATCCCCCGTCGCCAACCTCGCGGGGTTCTTAGTGATGTAGGGATGGTTACCTTAAATCAACTGGCAGCTCAACTCCTCGCGGTCAAAGAAGCAACCTATTCGTCGATGAGCGTATTCTATTGTAACGCGCCGCGGGTATTGTGTGACAGTACCAGTGTGCTCTCTTCAGCATTACATGCCACCTTGCTTACACAGCCTACCTGCGCTTACTCCTCGAAGGCAGGATATATCGGCGTCATACTCGGGCAACGGTTATGTTCAAGTGCAGCGCTGTATCACACTGTCCCCGGTTCAGTTGATCGCTCGCTTTTAAGAACACCTGTTATTCGCTTCCGGAAATTCAAATCCGCCTTCCAAGCGTTTTCACTTACCTAGCGAGCGGTATCATCCGTCGGCATGCGACTCCACGTTTTTGCTCCGACGTCTTCCCTATCATTCTCCAAACTGCGGACGGCTTCCCTAAATTCGCTTCCTCTGCGACGGTACTTGTACCAACATTCCTGTGAATAATATCGTTACAATTCCTTCTCCCTCTTCTCTCGCTGTCCGCTCGTCCGATCCTCCGCTTTCAATTTTCCACAATCTCGTATTAACTAATTTCGTCGAACGATCAGCAGGTACAGGAGCTTCGAGCTGATCGTGAAAACGCTCGACTGGTGGAGTACTTCGAACTTCCAGCTTACATCCTACCGATTCCAGCTCTTCGGCAGCCTCTGTTGTTCCCTATTGCCAATCTTGACTTTTTGGACTTTTTCATTTTATGATTATTGAGTTTCTTTTTGTTGTTTGCTAGTTACCATACCGTTTTCCGGATTCCTTATCAAGCTCTATCTCAAATTCCACGCTCCAACATGGCAACCCGATTTTATAGCCACAAAGCCCCGCTGCCATAAACCTCCGCCTTTCCCCAAACACCACTCCGCTTCTTCGGCTATTTCAGTACGACCACCACTTCTCCATTTGGGCGTCTCTTCAATTCGGAACTACGCATCTACTTCATGCCCCCCCAGAGCAGTAGCCCCCGTATCGGTGATGTCGAGAGGTACCCAGTCCTCTACCCTTCTTTGTTACACAGATACCCACCCGGGCCAAGCTGTCCACATGTTGGGACTAGTAGACACGGGCGCCGGAGCAACTATCGCCAGCCAATCCCTGCTTCCCTTTTTGGGAGTGTCCAAATAGAGACCGTGTTCCGTGCTCGCCGCCGTCGGCATGGCGAGTATACCCGCTAAATTTACAGGATCGGCTCCTGTTACCTTCCTGGTAGGCAAGATTTAATTCATGTCCCATTCCATTCACTTCACCGAAGCGGAATGCGTTCCTCGGGCTGTTGACGTATATAATGTACGCAATATATGCATATAATATAATGTTATATTAGGCAACGACTTCCTTCATGGCTCCCGCCATAGTTGGCTAACTAGGCCCAACGCATCTTCCTAGAAAAAAAAGTCGGAGAAGCCATCACCATCCCTACAGCAGCTATAGCGACTCTCCCTGGAATGCAAACTCCCGAACCGGCCCCTCTGGCAGTTCACGCTGCCTCGACGACAGTTCTACCCCTTGCTTCAGAAACCTTCGTCCCCTCTAAGCTGGCTAAAACGGTTCCTGGAGCGTCCACATTGCCTTATTGGTGATAGAAGGAGCTGTTCTTCCCCAAGATAAGCTAATGATCGCGCCAGCTGTTCCGCAAGCCGATCGAATTCACCTACTTATTATTAATCCATCCGCGACCTCGAAGATTCTTTAGAAAAATCAACGTCTCACTTCGGCTCGTCCCGTGCTGGATCTTTCAAACGGAACGCTTTGGGATCTCCACTCGCGTTTTTACCAAAATATGCTCCCTCAAAGAAACACCAGTATCAGTTCCACTCCAGCAGTCTCCTTGGGTTCCCGACCTATCACAAGCCAACGTTATCGACGAGCAACGTCAACTGCTCCAGGAACTCTTCGCCGAATTTTAGTATAGAATCTCTATGTCATCCTACGATCTTGGCTAATACGACCATACTCGAATTGCTATGAAGACAACATCAGAGATACCACCCTCGCGGTACTGCCCAACCCGCATCCCAGCTCGTTTTCAAAAGGAGCTAGACGAGCATATCAATAAACTCCTAGCTTCCGGACGCATCGTCGAAAGCGATTCTCCGTGGTTACATAACACGGTCCTAGTGAAAAAAAAGAACGGCGGCTTTTTGAGAGTCTGCCTGGATTTCCGACCGCACAACAGTACTACCATCCCGGACCACTAACCACTGCGTATCGAGGACCTCCTTAAACGGATCGTAGGCAAAAACTTTCAAACATTCTTCAATCTAGCGTCCGGTGACATGCAGCTCCTCTTGTCTCCAGATAGCCAGGCGAAATGCGGACGGGCTACTCATCGGGGTATGTATCAATTTGTCTACTTTCCCTTCAGGTTACGCAAAGCAGGGGCTTTTGTTGTAGAGCTATCCTCGCTGGCTTAGACGTTAATTGTCTCGCCTATTGAATGACACCATCGTTTTCGACAGCGACTTCAATGCACTCCTCCAATCTCTACAGAAAGTACTGGAACATTTTCGGATTTATAACATCTAAATATCGGCCGAGAAACATAGTAGTATTGCTCGGTCTCGAATCACTTTCCTGCGACATGAGATTTCTGGTTCCATTTACGCCTCGGCGGAGTACGACCTCCGCGCGATACACGACATGCCCACCCTCACATCCACAATTCAGTGAAGGTATTCCTGGGCATGGACAACGTTCTTCGAAAATTTGTCAGAAATTTTGCACTCGTAGCAGCATCACGAGCACGCACATCGAGCTGTTTGCCATGATCAGCGTCCTCCGTCTTTTTCGTGCCACCATTTACGGGAATAACACTCGAGCGCTAGGTGACCACCAACCCCTCACCAGCGGTCGCTTGTAGAGGTAGTAGGGGACAAGCTGTAAACCACATGCACGCAGCATTCCCCAGAAGCTCTCCAAATCACGCATTCGGTGTGTTCGTCCGCCTGCTCAAGTCGACTAGAAGACCTTCTTTTGGCCAGCTCACGGACGCCTCTTGCTTGATGCGTTTCTCACACACGGCAATCTCTGTCCAGGCTCAACGCATGCTCACGGCATAAATCCGTCGTTTTCTTCCGGTCCGCCCCTGCGAAGCTATCACGCCCCTAACCGTATCACGGTTGCCCCAGAAAAGTCGCAATTGGATCGACGAGAGACTCTCGCCGTTCACCAGCTACGGACGTCATATCCGCGTTGTACGCCTCCGAGTGGGAAAACTATTCGCCGTCACCAGCGCCTCACTCGCTTCACAAGCCTTCCTAACGGACGAAGAATAGAAGTAGTTGCTTTCAATCCCAATTTCGACGGTCTACCACTTCGTCTGCAAATTGAGCTTCCGTCAATGGCCCCCGACAACGGCTGGAACCGTTCTCGTACATCGACGTATGGGTAGTACACTCAACTACCATGACACGACCTTCAACTACCTTTGTTCAATACGACTTCGACTCTAAGACCCTTTTCGTCGAACTATGCGCCGACACCCGCTCCCAGCAGTCGATACGTGACGCCGTTACCAATACGGACGCGTATCCCACGACTCTACCGCCCGTGTACGCGTGTGAGGCCGCCTCACTCGGCCTCCATTAGGAACGAACCCCGTCTTTAACTATAAGCAGTCTGCAACCTATTTTCCGATATTGATCCCGCATCCCCGTTCCTGACGAAAGTCATTCTGGATTTTGTCTATGGAGGCAGACCTCGAGACTCCAATTCTCCACCACCGCCGTCTCTTACGAATATGAGCACCATACTCGATTCTCGTCGTCCACAACTCCGCCCGGACCAGGCTCGAGCAGTACAGATGAGCACGGGCAGCAACAGCAAACGCGGCAATTGCCCAATTCATTGAGACCATTCTGCAACTCGATGAATTCAGCCATCTCCCAATACTTCACTTCGTTGCAGATACAGCACAACAAGAAGGAGCACCGTGGACACACGGCGATCTAAATACTATCCTACAAGGTTTTCCCTCGGTGCTCCGATCGTCTGCACCTTCAAGAGATCAGGAGACTCCGCCGTTATACACAAGGACGGCGCCTTCTTGAACGATTACTGTTCCATCCCGAACAGCTGTCACGCCTCACTGAAGAGAAGCAGGAGAAGTACCGCATCGCAAAAATGTGCACTTCCGAAGCGACATAACGAGCAATCGCGATCTTATTACGGCTTCAGTTGCAAACCCGGTCATTCTCTGTACCACCACTTCGTCGCTACTGAACTCTAGAGGGAAGGAGGGCTGCTTTTCCACAAACTCCTATCTTCTCGGCGAACAATTATTGCGGACGAAGCTTCCCAGATCCCCGAGCCAGTGTTCGGCGCGATGGTGTCACGTTTCCCGCAGGCTTGCCACATCTACATATATAGGGGACGTCCATCAACTTCAACCCCACCTCCTTTGCCCACGGTCCGCCTCTGCAGCATGCCTCGGAGGACGTGGGATGATGTCCCTACTACTCAGCAGGAATATCCCGTTAACTCCGCTGGTGACCACGTTCCGCGCATATCCAGCCCTCGTCCATATATCTTATATTCTGATCTACGGTGGAGCATTGGCCAGTGGAACTCTCGCGCATAGGCACAATGATCTGATCCTTCCATTGCCCCTGCCAAAACCGCGAGTACCACTCAAACGTGTGAATCTACGCGGAACATCGTATCAGTCGTATTCCTCGTCACACTACAACGAGTGGAAGATCAACGCTGCTGGGACATTTTTTTGCGGCCTACTATCACGCAACGTAATACTTTCTTCAATAGACGTTATCTTCTTTTATAAAGAGCAGCAAAATCGTCCCTAGGAATACGCCAACCGGATAGAAGTGACACTCTATACC